ACTCAATACGAAATTAACACTGCGATACGTTTGAAATTGATTTAGAGACGGCAACCATCAAATTCTCAACTAAGAAAAGTAAAAAAGTCCAATTGTCGCTGGCGAAGTGGGGGGCCATCCTTATTCGCGCTTCAGTTTCTTCCTATTGACAAATATTATATTATTAAATATTAAATATTGAGTATCCAAATATCCAGAGCTTCCCGGGCGCAGCACGGCATTAGTGGCTACATGTAGCCACTTGCGTGTAACCCCGTTACAACGAGCACCATATTTCACGACTTACGGCTCGAATGGGAACACCGACACGATGCCCAGTGCTTGAGTCACAACAACTTTAATGTGAGTTTCACTATGGTGATGTAGTGACACAACAAAAACATGTGACGTGCGCAACTGCAACTTAAACATATCTTTTGTGGCTCATTCTCCAATCTGCAGCCAAAGGAAAACATTCACTCTGTTTGGTAGACAACTGAAGCTACGGCAGTATGCACCCGCCCACCAACCCAGTAGTACTGGAGGACTCGTGGCCATTCTACTCCATCGGGAGACCTACCGACAGACTCGTTTCACGCGGCCAAGTTCCCCGACGGATCAGTGAACTACTCTGTAGAGCACACATTTATGCGACATTTGTTCATAAAAGGACCATGGTACAATCGTCTATGATTAGCTACATATATATATATATATATATACACACACTCACATACCAGCGCGCAGCAGAACAATAAATGACATTGTATATGATGCATAAAAGCTACGTGCGTTATATATACTCTATTCGAGTGGATGTGATTGCACGTTGGTGCTCCAAAAGGACGACGCGTGTAGCAGCTTCCAAATAGCGACTATATGTCATGTACTCGCTACAGTCACCGTGACAACGACTGTACTCGTGGAAAACATATATGGAATGTATATAAATATTACAGTGGAAATATATTACGCTCGGAGGTTGCCAGCTAGTTCTCTACCAGTCGGGATAGTTCGCGATTTTGTCGAGATAAATTACATTTTTTTCAAATGCACGCTAGAAATTCGATGTGCGGTTAGGGGTCGCACATAGGGTTTAGTTTTAGGTTTAGGTTTAGGTTTATGTTTAGGGTTTAGGGTTTATGGAAATACTACCTTTGCGGACGCCGCATCCGTTCTCTCAGACGTACCAGGCCTCACTGTCGAGGGTGTGGGCACTGTGCCCCTCTCGTTATGCCAAGAGATCGCCGATATGCTGGTGAAACAAGGAATGGAGGAACAGGAGAACGTCTGGGTTCTCTTCCCCCACCTTATTAAGATGAACAACCCTGCGTGGGCTACGGTTGTTCAGACACTGGCTGAGTTGAGCTCAAAAAGGCTCGGGATCGACGACACAGAGATGCAGCCGGTATTGTCCACAGTGATAGTGGTGGGTGCTAGAGGGAGGCTCGATAAGCAGCGAGCCACGAACATCAGTCGCTCCATGGCGACGTTGGTGGTGACGTTGCCGTCTGAGTACGTTGGAGGTGACTATGTGGTATACGACGCGGAAACACCAAGAGATTAACACCATAATATGGGCAAAGCTTCTGTAGTGCAGGCTACGCATGTATGTACTTAGCCAGCCAGCTCCACCTACATGTTGTAGTTGGGGAATCAAATCCTGAACAGTATCCAGAGTATAGACAATGCTATATACGGCATATCGACACTCAAAATGACAAGACACACCGTTACGCGTCCTGTGTTGACATGGCTCGCGTCCAACCATTGGGGCCAAGGCAATTAGGACCATGTAGACTACAATAGTTATTCACTTTGCTATTTACCTGCAAATACACTAGACCAAACTTCCTGGGAGCTCCGCCGGCTCCCCCAACCGTGTCTTTACTTTCGCTGGACACTACAAGTAATTCTTTAGCAGATCTCCTGCTTAATCAAGACATGACCAAGACTAGAGCTCAGAGCTCGGTCCTAGCTGACGGCGAGGCTGAAAGAGGGCCAGCTCCCATTTTCGCGCCTATCGTCCCACCGCGGATCACCAAGACGTCCCATGCGGCGTTGGTGAAGTGGCGTAAGGAGCGGCGGGAGTACGAGGACACCATCCGCAATCGTGCCAAGGGCGATACGGATGATCTGATCGTCTCGATCAAGAACACCTTTGACGAAGGACTTCTTCGAGAGTGGTGCCGTCTCCGATGGAAAGTATCCATCGATGATGTCACCGGCTCCACCATACTGGAGGAAATTGAGAAAATCATTTCCTCAGTGAAAAACAACAGTGCGCCCGATATCGACCTAGAAATGGCCGAAAACCTGCACATGGACTTAAGTGAAAGTGATGTTCACGAACGAGTGATTCAATATTTCAAAATCTGTCGCGAAATAATTGAAGATCACGAATGGAATATTTTCTTCACTGGTCCTGATGGGACAAAGCAGTTGTGCTCCATTCTGATAAAGTCGCTTGAGCCTAAGGCTCTGAGAGAAGAGGTGGACCGGACAGCGCGTTTCCAAGTGCGAAAGGCACGAGAGGACGAGGTCATACTTCACGAACTGATCCTTGAGAAGGCACTCGACCATGAGAAGGCTTTTCAAAACCAACGACGCGCCAAGCGTGATCGTGACCGAGGAGATCGTGAACCTGATCGTGCATCCGTGCGTACAGGCAGCAAGAAACCTATCAAGAAACCGAGGCTAGCGGATGTGACGAGTACTACTGGCTCACAGCCAGTTACCAAGGCCACTGACCGTCCGAAAGTGCCTCCGACCCCCTGCCCTCACTGCGGTGATGTCCATTGGCTGTCCGAATGCCCCACGGCTACGGACAGCAAAACGGCAGAGATTCGTAAGAAATTGCGAGCTCAACGTGGTGAAAAATCAAAAAGAGAGGTGGCACGCCTAAAACGTCTTCGTGAATGTATCCCCAACGAAGAAAAAACTGTCATTTTAAATGAAGTGATGGAACTGCCGTATTGTGCCGACAAGCTGTCCAGATGGGCTAGCCAGCCAACTACTACAGTGAGGTTGAAGCGTTTCACTAGCAAGAAGGCGAAAAAGCAGAGAACAGTGACTACTACAGAAGTGAAACAAGCGCTTAGGCCCCTGGACGAGGAGAACTTCACGTGGCCGACTCTGAACGAGTTCAAGGAGACACAACAGCAGCATCAACCAATCGCAGGCGCAGTACGAGGTGCAGACGACGTGCTGAGGGTGAATAAGAGAATCTGGATCCCAAGGGCGTGGGTGGACCTCACCCAGCGGCTGTGTGTAATCGCCCACTGCGGAGCCCAGGGCCACCGTGGCGAGCAGGCGATGGTGAACCACCTGCGTCGACTGTTTCATATCCCCGACATTCGGGGCGTCGTGCACACATATGTGTCGACGTGCCTATTGCGCCCTCATGTGAAGGGTGGCAAAATGATACGTCGACCGTGGGGTGAAACTATCGAGTGCAATGAAAGAAACGGAGTATTGCATTGGGACTTCCTATCACCTGGCGAATTCATCGGAGACAGCAAGTACTTGCTCGTCCTCAAGGACCACGCCACTCACTTCTGTGAGCTCGTGGTGTGCGATGCAGCTGACAGTGCTGTTGCCACCGCTGCCATCCTCGACTGGCACAGTCGATTTGGAGCTCCACCAGTGTGGGTAAGTGGTAACGGCAGCCACTTCAAGAACGAAGTGGTAGCTGAGCTTTCAAAGCGACTGAAGAGTCAACAAAACTTTATTCTAGCATACTGCCCCTGGATAAACGGGTCAGTGGAGCGCGTCAACCGCGACATCCTCCAAGTGCTACGGGTGATGACGCTAGAATACAAAGTTTCTACAAAGGACTGGGAATATCTAGTACCTTTGGTTCAAGCCAGCTTGAACCACACTGCACTACCTTCGCTCGGCAACCGAGCACCCGTAGAACTCTTCACTGGATTGCAGTGTCCATCGCCTCTGGCAGAGTTCTACCACCCCGGTAGCAAAAAGCTAGTCATTGTGCCGAAGAATTCGGATGCAATTGACAAACATTTGGCTCAGCTAAGGCAGAGCCTGTGCACAATGCACCAACCTATTGTAGACCAGCGTTTGAAGCAACGTCTACTCAACAAAAAGAAAGATCGAGGTGACAATGTTGTCAACTTTGACGTAGGCGACTACGTTTTACGCTCACGCGTGGACGAAAAGAAAAGGAACAAGCTACTAGTAACGTGGCAAGGACCATACAGAGTGGTCCGAGCTGACGTGCATTCCTTCCGAATCCGTCACTTAGTGACAGGGTGTGAGCTAGATGTTCACGAATCACGTCTAAAGTTCTACGCAGACAAAAATCTGAACGTAACCGAGGAAATTCTCGAACACGTGGCCTCCCAGGGCATCATCCTGGCCATCAATGAGCTGAAAAAGCATCGATGGAACAAGTCTATCAAGGACTATGAGGTTTTAGTTAACTGGAAAGGCTTGGAGTCCGTAGAAGACTCCTGGGAACTGCTGACATCTCTGGCCAAAGAAGTCCACGTTCTACTGAATCAGTGCATTCAGAAGCAGGGTAGTAAGTTGCCTACGTATTGGAAAGACTATCAGTCCAAATTTCAATAAGCAGTTCCGCATACTTTTGTCAAAACAAACAAATTTTTGCCAATCTTCATATATTGCACACTAACATATAGTGGTGATCTATATCTACCATTTGAAACAACTCCGAATTGATTCTAATCAATATTAGTGTCAATATGAATTATTTCAAATCAACTTCAACTGGTTGCACTAGTTATAGTTATGGCCGGGACATTCCAATCAACGACCACTGAAATTACGTTACAGAAACGTGCATTATTATCAGTCGTACCCAACCACGTCATAATTATTGAACAGTGACGTCACAATGACAATTCTGATCACTATTGGTGACAACTCTACCTCTATGCGGAGCTGGCTTGGAGGGGCAGTGTAGTGCAGGCTACGCATGTATGTACTTAGCCAGCCAGCTCCACCTACATGTTGTAGTTGGGGAATCAAATCCTGAACAGTATCCAGAGTATCGACAATGCTATATACGGCATATCGACACTCAAAATGACAAGATACTCCGTTACGCGTCCTGTGTTGATATGGCTCGCGTCCAACCATTGGGGCCAAGGCAATTAGGACCATGTAGACTACAATAGTTATTCACTTTGCTATTTACCTGCAAATACACTAGGCCAAACTTCCTGGGAACTCCGCCGGCTCCCCCAACCGTGTCTTTACTTTCGCTGGACACTACAGCTTCTGGCAACGCTGCGTTCAAGCCGCAATATGTGGTGTGCCATGCCGGATCGTCCTATACAATGGAGGAAGTTACGAGTGGGTACTGTTTGATGCTGGATTACTCGCTGAGCCTGCCGACGGGGCTGCCTTTTACTAACCGTCCCCACCATCGTAATACATTGAGAACGGAACTTGCCGAAGTTGTTAAGCAACTTAAGGGAGGAGATGATGTGGAGGCTGGCACACACACTTACAACCAAGCTGCCAGCATCTCCATCCGCAAACCCATCCAAAATTGTGTCCGTCCTCGCAAGTGTCGTACTTCCTAGTACTTGCTTAAGAATATTTCTTGTTTGCTGGAGAGATAAAACTATATCTGTACCATTTATAAGAATAAGTGCTTAATAAATTAGAAAGTGTGAAAGCAAAAACAACAACGGCAAAAACACTCATCTCTGGGACCCACCAAGCTGCTTCGACAGATATCGGTTGATATCCGAAGTTCTCGTCTTCATATCCGTCAAGAGCCCAAGCTCTCGGCGAACCTGGGCCGGAATCGAGATGGACTTTGCTCCACGATACGAGTCGAAAATGAGCTTGTTTGTTTCGTGGTTGTGCGTAGATATCTGAATTTATGAATACAAACGAGAAGTTAGTTTTGCAACAATCGAGAAATAACTCATCTTACCTCAGTGTCCGAGTCCACTTGCACCTCCCATGCAGCAATACCCTGTTTGACAATCTCGACACACCGTACCAGGAAGCTCGCCTTACATCCAGTGTACCTCAATGCACAAATGCGGAGACCCTCGCCGCGGGAGGATTGCGTTGAGCCATGTGTGCACCACACACGCTTGAAGCTGTGCGAAAAGCGCTCTGGTATGTGGGTTGCGTTAGCACGGCTAGTACAACAAAACGAGCAACATAGAGAGCATCATAGAGAGCAACATATTAGCCGTTAACATGTTAGTAACATTCATCTCTTTCTCCACCACCATAACTTCAGACCTGTTGTTCCTGGCTCGGGTATCGGAGCTCCGGACGTGGAAATGGAGGAAGTGCTTGGCCCCGTAAAGGAGAAGCACTTGCTCAAACTCTTCCCAGCTCTTGAACGACTTCTTCAGCAAACCTGGCTTGACGTTAACGACGCCATGTCGCGCCTTCACTATCTCTTCACCAGCTTCGAACGTTTTTGTTCGCCGTCGCTCTCAGAGATCCTTCACCATTTTCGCAGTACTAACGCAGTTTGTGAGGTCGACCCAAGCACATGTAGACGGACGTCCATCCTCGATGTTTTCTCCAGCTTCTTCATCCGGGGCGTGTCTTCTACGCCTCGACTCAGGTCGCTTCTTCCGTTTATCACGCTCTTGCTCAGCATCGGTCCGATCGGCGCGAAAGTGACCCACGGATAAAATCTCCAGTGAAATCAAAAACAAGCAACACAGTAAGTAACATAATTAAATTATTCAGCAACATAATAACGTAACATACCCACACCGCTAGCCGTATCACCATCCTCATTCAGTGCATTTTCATCGTGACCCTCGTCCACATTCGAGTCCGCAACCGCGTCACCATCTTCCACATTCGCGTCACCTTCGTCCACATTTGATACGCGTGTCGCCGGATCCGCAGTATCGTTGCCGTCGTCCGCCACCGACATTGGCGCGTCGTCCTTCACCGTGGTTGCAGCACTAGTACTCGCGTCCTTCTTGCCCGCGTCCACGCACTGCTCAGTCACTACAAAAGAAGACAAACTATAAAATAAACAACTCAATATAGATATTTGCCGTTGAGTCCTCACTCCACTCGTGCTGGTCGCGGCGGTAGTCGTGCCAACGTCATCTCTCGTACCCAATGCTGCGTCACCACTTCCCAAGTCCGCCACAGCCGCTGGCGCGTCCTTGGCCTCTACATCCACGTCATTCTCCGCCATATTCACGTCTGTTCTCGCCCAGAGCCGCTTCCTTATTGTCCACAGGCACGGCGGCGTCAGCAATCACCTCGTCGTTGTCTTCTCCCTCGAGGCTCTCTATGTCGGCCTCTTCATTTGCCGTCTGTCGTCGCAAATGGGTCATCAACGTAGTCTTCATCGCTGGAAGGGTCACGGGTAAATCCGTGAACAGATCGAACGTAGTCCACAGGCTTCCTCTCGCGTAACCAGTGACCTATACAGACAAACCACAGCATCATAAGTTAGTGCAGGTGTTGGTAGAACGTCGCCGGTCCTTTTGGCGGCTTTAGTCTACCTGTAGATTGCGCTGGGCGCGCTGGTTCGCGCGCGCCCTGCTTCGTCATCGCCGATACGAGATGCCAGTACGCTTCGTACTTAATGTGCTTCGAACTTAGCAGAAAAAAGATCTTGTGAATTTTCTTCTTTTTTGCTATTGAGATTTTCTGAGTAAAATATATTACGATAAATTACCCAGCAACACAAGCACGCCTTGTGTTGCTGTGATCGGTTTGTTGTCGTGTTATAACGAAGTTGTACTGTAGTACCTACTCCGATTGTAAGCGCATCTCAAGCAAGTGAAAAGTCGGAGCTTTTCAGCCCCAGCGTTTGAAGCTGGCTGGCACCACCACTCGACCAGCATCGAAGCCACCGGCGTGAGAGAAAACTGTGTCGGTGATGGAATTTTTTTTTTTTTTTGGGGGGGGGGGGGGGGAAGCTGAAAACCAAGATTCCAGCCGGATTGCGATGTTCAAAAATGAATACCATTGCAGATCGGCGATTCAAACCATTTTAACGCGTCGTGGTTCTTACAACCGTTACGAAATCCACAATAGCTTTTTTTTTGCTGTACAAGAAGTGATTCCTTGAGCGCGACGATGAACCGCAGATTAATCAGGGCCACGAATATTGGGCACAAGAAGCTAGTTCGCTTTTCGTAAGGTCCTACATGAAGAGCCTTCAAGGTCCAACGTGCAGTGTCTTTTACTGACTGCGAAGATGTTGACTGATGGACTGTTCTGGTGGTGAAATGACGTAATCGTTTGACCAACATTCGGTGCACTCGTTGAACTATACCTTTCCAGGAACGACTCTTGCCGCTGATTTGCGTCATCATCATTTCTTGCAACCAGCTCGTCACTCTCAATTTTCTGCTGTCCAGCTCAAGTCCCAACACACTTCCCAAATGGCGGCGTTCTCGTCGATCAAGCTCACATATTTCAACTTCGGAGGCCGTGCCGAGCACGTCCGACTGGCGCTTTACATTGGCGGTATCCCTTTCGAAGACAAACGTCTGAGTCGTGAGGAATTCGGCGCTCTCAAGAGCTCATTCCCGTTAGGCCAAGTTCCGGTGTTGGAGGTGGATGGGCAAGTGCTAACGCAGACTGACGCTATCTTACGATACGTCGGACGTCTCGGTGGCCTCTACCCAACTAGTTCCCCCTTTGCGGCGCTCAAAGTCGACGAGATGCTACATGCGTTATGCGAGATGGCAGAGCAAATGTTTCCCTCTTTTCAAGAAAAGGACGAGGACAAGAAGAAGGCGATGCGTGAAGAGCTGGCAAAGATCACGATCCCACACTACGCAGCTTGCATTGAAGCTCGTCTCGAGAAGATGCACAAATTGCCAACCTTCCAGTCGGACGTTGTGTACGTGCACGAGATCGCTCTCTTCACGTGGATGAAAGCCTTTAAAGAGGGTTTCATGGACCACATCCCGACTACGATTCTGGATGGCTACAAGTTCCACAACATTACGTTTGACAAAGTTGCTGCGAACCAAAAAGTCAAAGAATGGTACAGCCTGCCTCATCGCCCACCAACCAAGCTGAAGCTGACCTACTTCCCAGTCGCGGGTCGAGCTGAGCCCATTCGCCTCGCATTCTTCATCGGCGGGATTGATTTTGAGGACGTGAGACTCTCGTTTGATGAGTACGAGAAGGTCAAGTCCGAGCTGCCTTTCAACCAGCTACCTGTACTGGAAGTCGATGGCGAGCCCGTATCGCAGTCGTTGGCTATTCTGCGTTATGTGGGCAGCCTCACTGGCCTCTATCCAACGGACCTGCTCGCTGCTTCTCATGTGGATGAAATCTTCGTTTTGATCGATGAAATGTTTAACAACCCCGAGTGGCGCGCGACTGTCAGAGAGAGAAGCCCGGATAAGCAGCAAATGATGCGCAAGAACTTGTCAAACGATCTTATCCCGAAGACACTCGACTTCCTAGAGAAGCGTGTCGATGCATTCAAGGGACAATACGCCACGGGATCGGCGTTGACGGTGGCTGACTTGGCTTTGTACGCGTTGATCCTCCTCCTGAAAGCTGGCAAACCTGGCATCCCTACAAACATCTCCGACCCGTACAAGAATTTGCTACGTGTTTTCGACCAGGTGAAAAAGCACCCGAAAGCCATCGAGTGGAATGCAACTCACGCGTGAGCGGGGGGAGACGAGGAATTCGAAAGAGCAAATCTCTTTCAAACGAGATTGATACATGTACTTCGTTGCAGGCTTGTAGCTTCTTAGGATCTGATACGCTCGCGCAATTTTTTTTTTTTTTTGCATGTACTGCTGTCTCGTTTGGGATGAAGCAAGTTGCGTCTGGCTCTTCCAGAGATTACCACAGCAATTGTCTACTTTACTGCAGCAATTGTCAATTTTGCTGTAGGCACAAATAATCTTTAGAGATTTGCTGCATTTCCGTTCCACCGCGACCATGCGCAACACCGGATACGTCCACCTTGTCGCCCCTGCTGGACTTCACCCCGTGCGTCTGGCGCTCTGCATCGGCGGTATTGTCTTCGAAGAAAGGTCTTTATCACCAACTGATGTTGCGGAGGGGCAGTACGCAGAGTTACACGTGAATGGAACATCTTTTACGCATTTTGATGCTATGATTCGTCTTGCGGGACGTCTGAGTGGCCTATATCCAGTCAGCTCCCCCGTCATGGCTCTCCATGTCGATGAAATTCTTCACGTTCTGAACGAAGCACGAGCTAAAACAAACACCTCAAGCGAATTAGAGACGACCAACATCTTGCGTTACGCTTCGTCAATCGAGGCACGACTTCAGCGTCTGGGAGGGATTCCCGCGTTTAAGGTTTTGAATGATAACGTGTTTCTCCATGAGATCGCTTTGTACTGCTGGGTCAAGTCAATTAGGAAGACGGAACTCGATGTTGAGGTTGACAAGCATAAGTGTATCTTCGCAGCGGCGTCGAAGGTGGAGAATCACCCAAGAGTGAAGCACCTGAGCACACAAGATTCAAAAATGTACCCGAAGCTGAAGCTCACTTATTTTCCGTTTCCTGGACGTGCTGAGCCAATTCGTTTGGCTCTGTTTATCTCTGGGATTCCTTTTGAGGACGAGCGCATTGATGTGGAAGAGCTAAACAAAAGACGCTCGACGCTGCCGTTTAACCAGCTACCGGTGCTTCAAGTCGATGGAGAGGTCGTCTCACAGGCCCTAGGAATTCTCCGCTATGTTGGCACACTCGGGGGACTCTACTCGCCCAGTAATAGCAAGGAGGTTTTCCGGATCGACGAGTTGTTTTCCGTAATCGATGAATTTTATAGCTCCTACACTTGGAACGCGTCGTACTTTGAAACGGACTCGGTGGAGCAGATGCGGTTGCGAACAATTCTGGCGAAAGAAACTCTCCCCAAGACATTGAACTTCCTCGAGCAGCGAACGTCGAAGTGGAATGAACGCTATTCTGTGTGTGCCAGACTCACCGTTGCGGACCTTGCTATTTACTCGTTGCTATGGACGTTTCAAAGCGGACGCATTCTTGGTGTTCCAGTGTCTGTAGTTGCGCCGTACAAGATGTTGCTCGGCATTTATGAAGCTGTCGCCAATCATCCAAAAGCGCGTGAATGGGGTTTTATGAAGCACTGAGAATGAAATCAGGTGATAGGATACCAGAAAAGAATGCGTCGGTCACAACTGGCGGAAATGAATTATTGATAACAATTCACTCCCGATCAGCCCGTGCTTGCGCTGACTTGGTGTCTCGAACGACCTTGCAATACAAATCCTTGGGGTCCACCCCAGTTTCAAAGATGAATGAAATACTGATGTTTCGACACGTTAACGCCATTCACGTTTTCGTGTTCACGACCCTCGTTTTCCCTCACACTTAGTACTGATCACCTGGAAAGTAGGTAAAAGTGCCAAGGTATTATGGCAGACCTTCTAGCCACTGTCTTGAACTTTCGCAATGAGCATTGTCCGTTTCCATGATAGGCAGTGCTTAACCAATCGCTGACTGAGTGGACATTGCTCCAAATCCAAGCCAGTAGAAGGTTGATCTCCGCGTTATATTCTTCTATGTAGCTGCCTTCTGGAGCTCTCGTACTGCTCACGGGTATTGTTGACAATTACAATTGCTCTCGTATCGACCTGTGAGCTTCCAAAGTCAATGGGCAACAGAGCTCGACTCAGTTGAGTGTGGAAGGTTTTCCTGAACGAATCTAAGCGCCGCAGAAATGTCCGCAAAGTCGGTTATCACAAACGAATTTCTTTCTTCACGAAAAAAATGTTTCAGTTCGAGATTGTGTGGAGAAACGTACGCTTGGTATCTGCAAAGTGAAGTCCTTGTTGAGACGTGCGATCTCGGCTTCCAACCACCGACGCCGAACAATTACCAACGATGCCAACACCACACGTTGTTCCCATGGAGAATGTGCTTGCACATACGCTGCTACGTCTGATATAATAGGGCCAAGAACGCTCGAATTCATGTTCTGAAGCATGGTTGCGACCTTCGTAAATAGGTCGTTCTGGCAGCTTGCTGCTAATATCCACAGTAATCCTGTTGCTTTGACGAAGCTATAAGGACTTCAGGGACAAGTTGCGCCTTCTCAACTGCTATCGTCATCAGAGCCGTCTGAGCATCACAAGCTTTTGTTAAATGGAGAGCTAAAGCCATGGCATCCTGCGGCGACATTCGATTCATAACGTTTTTCAGTGGTGTACACACCATATTCCAACCAAAGTTCTCGATTAGGAAAGCTATCATATATAGTGATGGAGCTAGCAATTCCTTCTTCTTCAATTTTTCAAAGAATCGGATAAAAAATAGCCACACCAACTCCACATCCCCAGCTGCAGCAACTGCCTTGCACATACGTTGGCAAAACGTCGTGTAAGGGTGAAATGCTGTCGTTTTGGTCGCCATCATTCTCCTCATTTCCGGTTGCAATATTCAGGAAAGATCGCATTTTTGATGCATTCACGTGCTTGTCAGTTATGATCAATGATAAAGCGGCATCCTCGCCAAAAAGGTGGGCGGTATTCCTTAGGTCATGTGCAAAATGCCACCCCACAACAGCATACGCCTTGTACTTAATCGTTGTTACCACGACTAATTCGTCGCGACTTACGTACTTACCCCACGTTGAACGGGACGATGTTCGATCGGGATTCAAGAAGTTCATCGTGCTCGTCCAGCCAAGCGTGTCATTTGGGTATTCCAAGTCCCGCTGTTGCAGCATTTTACCTATCGTCGTAAACCACATAACAGACTCAGATCTCCGTCGAAGTTTCCAACGGGATTCTTCTGCACCGATTCCCCTAAGGGGTATCCGCGGGTAACTGCGGTACAATGCACTGTTATCATCGCCGCCTAGGTCCTTCACAACTTTGGCCGTGTGTTCAATTCTGGCAATATAAAACTTCACCTTCTTATCATCAGAAACAAAACTATTTGCCTTCTGCAGAGCTTGGAATCGTGCTCTATCAACCCCAATCATTCGCTGGGACCCTTCCATTTCAAAGCGTTCATCTGGACCATTGTCGTTCGCCAACAATAGTGCAAACGTTCCATTCGTTTGGCCAAAATCCTCGATAGCCTCCTTCAATTCTCTTTGCAAAAACCTCCTCGACTGGTTCACTGGTGCCACAGTCTCACCACTCGGCAACCGTATCGAGTATTCCAGTACCACGCGATATCCTTTCTGCACCTCTTCCAGTTCATACTCTGCCCCCGCCACATACACTGCATAGCTAGGGTTGAACGCTGCTTTCCTGGTCGACTTGCCGAAATCAAATCTGTACTTCTGTGTAGTATCTTCGTCATCAAACACGACCAAGTTTCCTCCCTCATGTAGTGATGACAACTGTACCACCAAGCTTGCTACTACATCTTTCTGCTCCTCACCGTCCTTCTGTTTCTTAATGTGTGCTCCTGGTGCGTACACCACCAGTTTGGACAAAATGATGTCCAGCAGGACGTCCTGGAATCCTAATTTCTCACCGATAGCCACCCCCAGGTCCCCGATCTTGCGGTTCCACTCGGGATTCTTCATCCAAAGCTGATCTGCTGTAAGCTCCCAACGTGTGTCGTCTTTATCCTCCACCCGTGTGCATATATCTAACAACACGACGCGAAACCCTCGGACAATGGGATGGGGGATAACACTGGGCGTCGCGCACTACCAGACCGGGTAAAGCGGGTAGATCGACATCCGAGCCTCCGAACGCATACAATACAGCGTTGTTCACCCCAACGCGACCCAGCGCGTCACTGATTTTCACACACGCGGCGCCTCGTGGTGCGTACCCGCTGTCATCCGGGTCGATGTCCTTAAAGGGCCAGTACACTTGCTCTACCCCTTGCGGTGAGATATTCTCATAAGCGTGTTTGTTTCGATTAGTGGATAAATTAAAATTATTGATTGGCTAATTAAAATTGAACTTGCACTCGACACTGCATTTGGAAAAAAATTCTGGGGGAGCATTGGTACATCAGCGACAGCGACAGCGAAGCCTCGGTGAACTATGGACATGAACGAGAGTATTTCGGTGGCAGTGACAGCGAGGAAGATGAGGGAGAGAGGCGATTGGAACGATATTGGCCGTTCAGTTCCATTGGTACAGCAAACGACACATTAGTCCCAAAAGGACCAATTTGCAAAGAGATGAGCGAAAAAATCTTGGGGAAAGTAGTGTCAGCGGAAACGAAATATTTATTTGGAGGCGCAGCTACAATGTTGCCGGGGCTACCAGGACTGGAGATGAAAAGTTGCGGCAACATTTCTCTTCCGATACGAAAAGAAAATGCAACGGAAATTGAGAATTGCGGCAAGCAAGTTCGTGACAAAGTGTGGATGTTGACAGGAGATCAAGTGACAGTGACAGTGAAAAATTCCGAGTGGGTGGAAGGGATCGACAAGTTGTGTCAAATGAGTGGGGACAAGCTGGGGTTCAAGAACATTGCCTGCGTCCGGTGCTGGATAAACTGTTGCTGTGCGGTGAAGGAGGACAGTTTGAAAGGCAAAAAGACATAGGTGGGGCCTGCTGTGTTGCGAGGTTGTTGGTACAATTACCATCGGTGTGTACTGGAGGCGATCTGCTAGTCGTTGATGAAGGAGCGCAGATTCAGAGTGTATACAAGTTTGGCAAAGAGGACGGAGCTGCTCAGTTTGCTCCATACTATGCCGTGTATACTGCTGGTGCGTATCGTTCCGTGAAGAAAGTAACGAGTGGCTATTGCTTGCTATATTCGCTGTGTCTACCACGAGGAATGCCCAGTTTGAATGGGAAAAGTTTGAATCACCTTCAGCGAGTACAGCTTGCTGAAAGTATCAAGAAGTTGGTAAAAGTGCAAGGTGGAGTTGCCGTTAAAGGCGAAAATGGGGTCTCGAATGCAGCGAACAGAGGGGGTGATGCCAATGAAAGCTCGATATTTGCTTTCATGCTCTCTCGTTCATGTGGAAGTTTTCAGATAGAAGGGAAGGAACCAACGCACTGTCGGGTGCTGACTTGGACCGGTATCAATCATTGGCAGCTGCAAATGCACTTGTACCTTCAGAACAGCAGCTGAAACTATGCATTGCGGGTCTTCAATATAGACCAACCGGGTATTATGGTTGGTGGGATGGATCGGATGTGCCACAGAACGTTTCGTGGTTCTCGCTCAGTGGGCAAAAGTTGGGTAATGGTAGCACTACTTCTCTCAAATGGACAGAAAAGCTTAGGTTTTTGAATCCAGGGAACGAAACGTTTAGTCAGTTGTGGAAGCAGTTCGGTGAGGACAGCCTTGCCACTCAGGAGCGTTATGCAATTGTTGGATGGCCGGCATCCACCAACATCAATAGCATAATCAAATTAATGGGAGACATCGCCGCTGCTGAAATGGCACTTTCCGACAATCGAGTCGACATGATCAAGGTGAAAGAGATTCTTCAGTACAGATCTGAGCAGGAACGACAGGAACCTCCGTATCGCTATGGCTATGGCTACGATGAATACGGATATTCCACCCAATGCCACTACATCTTTGTAAAACGATTTGTAAGGCGATCGCTGACTCGAGGGACGTGGCAGTTATCGAAATGTTTTTCAAGACGTGTTTCTCTCGACTCAAGGAAAAGCGTGAATTGACTTCTGCGATTGTGGTTGGGGGCAGGTCGGTGAGTCGTATTTGAGATCCATCGATCACCACACAATATCATACACAGATCGTCTGGGGTTCATTTTGTCTCTAGCAGACGCACTGGAAAACAATTCGGTCGCACGGATAGCCCTCACGAAAGCTGCGGTTGAGAGAGCTCAGTCTTATTCAAATATGAATCCGAGTGCATTCGCTTTGTTCGAGTGACCTGGATCGACTTTGGAAGCATGCATTGCGTGTGGGACCCTTCCAGTTTTTATGGCCAATAGCACTGTTATCATGAAAATGAATGGGAGGTTTCTCGCACCGACGGTGAATGCCCTATCGGCCTTGATAAAGAGGGAGAGTTTACCAGAACACAAAGCTGAGTTGAGCTCTCTTGCTTCCCGACGTCGGGCTTGGTTGCTTGGAGAGATCGCAGATATTTCGAAGCCGTTCACATACGAACTCCCACCATCCGATGTTCCCGAGGCAGCGGCATTGACTTCTTTTCTTCGTGGACCAGACTCCATGTACATTATTCGAGACTTTACAGGCATTGCACAAGCTCGGTATCGCGTCGCTCTGCTCACCCGAGCACTGAAAGCTACTGGGCTCACGATGACAGCTGAGGGGCGTGGTAGAAACTCGTATGTGCGGCTAGAAAAGGCGGTGCGGGGATCACCGAAAACAGCAATTGCCAGCGCACAAGGCCGAAATCGTACGTTTGGAACGCATAATCCTTCCTGGTAGCGAAACCATCATTGGGAACAAGCGGCCCCGAGATAAAACCTCAGGGATCTTCACTATTAACTAAGGCTGGGTTTTGGTAGCTTCGGATATCCAGATGTGTTGGTACTTGCGTTGCAGCAATTTTCAAGTCCAACCAAACATTTCACTTAGAAGCTGAGACCGTGGACACCGTCCGAGCAACATTATGCGGTGTTGTCGTCATTTCGTTGTGAGCATTACTACCAGTAAGTAAACGTAACGATTTTCTACGCTGAAGAAAATATTTGGATGCGAGTGAATTTGCGTTTACCTTTTCCACAAGATGATTCAATTGTTGATGATAAAGCAGACGAATGAGGTCAGATACCAAGTCTCAATCGCTAGACGGGAAGTGCTCACCTTGTGTACAAGTACTTCGAGCACAATGAGAGTTATAGAGACAGCAGGCTTTCACCCCAAGCTCTTCAGGAAGACACTGGAAGATGTATTTTCGTTTGCAATGATTCAAGTTGTCGTCATTTGCTTATATCAGCTGGCGTAAAGTGCCAATACAATGAACCGCAGCACTAAATTTGTTCATCAAACTTCTCAAATCCTGGCAACAAAGTTGGATGCTGGAAGTTGCTTAGTTTTAAGAAAATCGTATGATAAAACATACTTAAGTATTTCAGAAGGCTGCGCTGGCTTTCTAAAATTCACAAATGTATCGTATTTTATCGTTTATTTGCGTAAAGCCATTCACGAAAAGAAGAGCAGCAGCATTTACTGGTTGTGCGCGGCGTTCCACTCCACAACCTTCGGGTGTTCCGCCACCAGCTTGAACACGCGCTGCAAGTTGTCGTACGAGTCCGCGATGGTCTTGGCGAATCCAGGCACACCACTCTTGAAGCCAAGCAGCACACCGTAGATAGCGAGGTCTGCCACAGTGAGGTTCGCTCCAGCCGCGTAGGGGCCCTTGTTCGCAGTAATCCGTTTCTCCAGGAATTCCAGCGTCTTGGGCACCATACCGCTGGACAGTTCCGCGCGCATAGCCAGCTGCTTCTCCGTGTCCTTCTCACGATGAGAAGCACCCCAAAGCGGGTAGTTGAACATGTCGTCAAGGATCGCAAACAGCTCGTCAATGCGGTAGGCTGCAACCGGGTCGGTCACTGGGTACAGTCCCGAGAGCGTGCCGGCGTATCGAAGGATAGCCAAAGACTGGGCAATAACCTCGCCGTCCACTTCCAGCACTGGCAGCTGGTTGAACGGCAACGACGGCTTGAGGTTCGTCAATTCTTCGACAGTGATGCGTTCGTCCTCGAACTCGACGCCTCCGATGTAGAAGGCAAGACGGATCGGTTCTGCACGGCCAGGTTTGGGCATGTAGACCAGCTTAAGCTTGGGTGCGTTGTGCTGCAGCGTGTACCATTCCTTGACCTTGGGGTGATTGGCGATCTTTTCATGCGTCTCATTGATCAACTTGTAGCCATCCAGTACTGTAGTGGGGATGTGGTCGATGTAGCCGGCACGCAGAGACTTGACCCAGGCGTAGATGGCCACTTCATGGATGAACACATCCTGGGACTGGAAGACCGGGATCTGCTTCATCTTCTCGAGGCGAGCCTCAAATAGACCAGCGTAGCGAGGGATTGTGACAGTGGCCAACTCCTCACGCATGGCCTTCTTCTTGTCCGCGTCGGACTCGCTGAACGCCGGGCCCATCTTCTCCTCGAGCTCGCCCATGGCGTGCAGCAGCTCGTCGATCTTAAGTGCCAGGTAGGGCGCGCTAACGGGGTAGAGTCCTCCCATGCGACCGGCGAAGCGCATGATGGCGTGCGACTGGGTGAACACCTCGCCATCCACTTCGAGGATCGGCAGTTGTCCCAGGGGCAGTGACTCCTTTATGGCAGCGAATTGCGCATGGCCGATGCGCTTGTCCTCGAAAGGCACACCGCCGATGTAGAAGGCCAGACGCTGGGCCTCGGCACGCCCGGCGGCGGCGAAGTAGATGAGCTTAATGGACGGGAAGGCGCTCATCGCGGAGGTAAAGAGATCTTGCTGGTGGGAAGGTGTAGTGGTACACGTGGAGCGAATTGAAGACTGAGGAGGAGGAACGCTCATCACGCAATGTAGAAGTGAGCAATCGCCCCGACTGTACAAATGTATGTACGCAAACGGATCTTGATGACGTCAACTATGGCTGCTGCCACCGACTGTGTTAAACGGAAGTTTGGAGCACCGGAAGTACCAAAAAAAATAGCAAAAAAAAAAGTTGCCAAATAAACTAGCGCGACAAGAAGTGGACGTGTTTGTAAACGTTAAGGGGTTAAGTTATATTATGTAACGAGAGGTGTTGCACAAGTAGCAGCCCGACAAAGATATCTCAGCCGCTGAGGCACAACGACCGGAAGCCTCCAAAGCCAATCTCCGAGATGCGGACTGCGCCCAACACGCCCATGACGATGCCGCTGACTCCAATAAAGACGGCGACAAGGAAAATCACCAGTGCCGACTTGCGGTACTTCTTGATCAAGTACGACATGCCCAATTGTCCAATGAGACCGGCCACGAAACCGACCGTTCCATGCCACAACGCGTGGTCCACCGACAGCGTGCCCAGGATGATGAATTGAATCGTAGTAGCAGAGGACGTGAACAGGATCATGGACGACGACGTCGCTGAGGACACTTGCGGCAACAGTCCCATTTCAATCAACAGTGGACCCTTCACCATACCTCCTCCAATACCCAGGAGACCAGCAGCTACACCGGCAGCGGTGCACAGCGCTGGGTACTTGATGACAGCATACTTCGTCCAGATCATATCTCCCTTTGCATACGTGTAGTCAGACGCCTGTAGCATCGTGTGGAACCGACTGATCTTCATACCAAAGTAGATCGTCACGCTCATGAAAAACGGGAACGAGACGATGACCAGCAGCCAGTAGCCAATGCTTCCGCACGACAGGCCAATGACACTTGGTGTACCGTGGCCACCTTTCGCCATCGAGAACAGCACGAGACCAATCCACGTCAAGAACAGCACGCCCATGTCCGCCATCGGGACAGTGCGTCGAGCCTTGGCGATCTCCTCTACTGATAGAAACTTCATTGGTCTCTTGTCCTGCAGTCCCCAACTCAACAAAGACTCGCTTTCGTTCTCGTCACTGCTGGTCTCATCCTCGGTGCTCGTCTCTGTCGTGTTGGATGAACTGTGTTCCTCCTCATTGCTGGCCTTGTCTGCCAAAATCTTCAGTCGAAGCTCCTCTTTCTCAGGCGACTTGTACACCTTCCACTTTAGATACGCTCGTGCTACAACCTGGAACTGCTTGAAGTTCGACTCGTACGGCAGCAACCGCCAATATGCCACAATGTCCGATACGATCTTCTTGTCCGCGTCCGCTTCCTCCTTCCAGATCTTTTTGCCCTTGTTGTATGTGCGTAGAGCCGTCTTGGTTAGCAGCCACACAATGCAGATAGTAATGAGCCACTCGGGGAAGACTGCGTTCATGTTGACGCCGATGATGGTGCCCGCCAGCGTCATGGGCTCCATAAGCAACATTGTCTCGTAGTCGATTAGCGGACGGCTACGCACCAAGGGATGGCGTTTCCGTACATTTAGCAAGAAACTGGCAATGGCTCCGCCGAAGATCGTGGCTTTCGAGAGCGGCACCGCCTCGTGTGACGACATGCTCATAAGCATGATGTACAGCGGCACCAGCAGCCCACCACCACCAAGGCCGGATCCCGCGGCTAGGATGGTGGCCACGAACGCGCCGATAGACCCGGCGATTTCTTCGTGCGACAGCGGGAACAGAGCGTCATCTACGCAGACACCGGCGCGGCATGTATTGTGCTTCAGACCCTGTGCCAGGCAATCGGTGGCCGCCTCGCAATACACCTCGGACTCCACATCCAGCACTGGTGAATCGTTGACATTTTGCGCGAGTGCCAAGCTCCAAACGCAGAGGCAGGTTACCACTAGCAGCAGCATGGAGCGCGGCGTCATGGTGAGTTCGCAACAGTGCGGCCAACAAGAAGTGGACTCCTCATTCCGGCGCACGCTGTAGTCATACAGTAGCCTTTGACTGGTGCGAATCGCGTGGACAAATAAAAATGAGCGATTGGATAAACCGAAGCCTCTGTTAGCCAATCAAAGAAATGATCCCGTCGTAGCTGGCACGCCTAGTGAAATGCTCATAGCGCCTAAAAAAACTAATTAGTCCTAATTATGCAAGTTAGGCGTTTTAGGCATCCTATTAACTCTATTTAGGGCATAAAGATAATTGAAAAAAAAAATCCTGTTTTTTTCGTAAATTATGTGAGAAACGCAAAAATTAATGTCCTGTCCACATTTTCGGCTCAGAGACTCGTCAGCAGGAGATCGCGGACCTCGCCGTACATCGGCCCAATATCGCTAGGAAAAAATTCGCCTTCAATTGTACGCCCATCACAGGATCATGTGTAGGTATGAATAAAGTGCAGCCATGAAACGTACTCCTCACTTGTGTTCATTTTGACGACACCAATGTTTGACGAGGGTTTATCCGAGTTGGAGACACCGAAGAGCAGCTCGCAGCCGCTCTCTCTCTCTCTCTCTCTCTCTCTCTCTCTCTCTCCTCTCTCGAGATGATACTGGTCACGCACGGCCACAAGCTCCCGTGGCCTCATCGTGGCTGGAGTGGGTACCGTAATTAAGCGCGCGAAGCCAACGATCGTCTTTTCCGGGCCTCAAGACGATGTAGCCCGCCCCGTCGTCGGTGCCTTCGGTGCGAACGAACCTGGCGTCACGCCGGTAAGCTTTGTCTCGTATTCTACATCCGGATGTGATAAAGACGTTAGGCTTTACGTTCGCTGCTGGCTTTCCGCCCAAGGTCATCAGTGTGGAAGAGTGGACCTGGTACAGGATACACGGAAGTAGCATATAGAGTGGAAGGCAGTATTTCGACGAGGAGATTTTGCTCGAAACGCTCGTCAACGGGCGGAGCGCTACACAGTGTAGCCTACACATTGCTGTTAGCTGTCCCGTTGAAGGATTTCGTGGAGTTCCACAGCACAAAGGTGAATTTGAGGGTGTGTATAAGAATTTTTACTTAGATTCTGACCATTTTGCAAGTTTGTTTTTATCTGCACTGTCAAATGCCGTGGTTGTATTTGCTCCTAACCAATATCGTGATGGTTCCGAATGTCGAGGTGAAAGTAACCCTATCCTGCGTCTTCAGTAAATCAGTACGACAACTGCTGCCTCCATGTACCTGTGGAGAAGGATTGAAGTTGCAGACTGTGGTGAGCAATTGCGGGCACACACATAAAAATTTCGTGCTCATGATGACCGGTGGCTGAATGTATGTCACGTGGACGGTCAACTACAAGATTGACATCCACGACGACGGCATTATCGCGCGCACGAGCTGGAATACAGCTGACAACTACATCATCTGCTCCCTCCTTGACCGAAGTGACAAGTACTGAGACTTGATGCAGCGCCACTAGACGATCATGTCCTTCGCGGTTTCAGCACGCATATTTGCAATTAGGATCCGCATAGGAGACCAACTACTTCGTCGTATTGTGCAATTTGAAGATTTCTCATCCTCTTACTAGCATGATATCATGTTCGTACTCTCATATTCTCTATGTTGATGTAGCAAATATATTTATGATTTCAAACCACCTTAGGCTGTACACAACGCAGATTTACTCACCGCTGGAGATGGTTCATTCCCAGGAGCATCAGGAAAAGAATCAAACATGACGTGATCTTCTCCATTGTGATTCGTGTAGACGAAGAATAGCTTTTCTAGGCGTGCTGCCATCAAACAATTTTTTTCGTTTGGAGTGAATAAAGCCGTGAATAGACCACGAACGTTCACTTGCGGCAGATGACGTGGGGATGCAAAACAATTGCATCGCTAGTGGGCGCATGAGTTGGTATTTGGTTTGTCTCGTTGTTCACCAATTCAGCGGTGTGTATGAATGGTATCTCTGCTTCTTGTCCTCGCTCCAAGCCAATTTGTCGGTCACAAATTGCGTTATCTCAGCAGAAACCTTTTGATGTTCTTCCAGGTCCGCTGAAATCATTGTGGCGGCGTCAACAATTGCATCGTCAAGTTCATCATCTGAGAAACATTTCGTATCCAGTCGTTGATAAAATAGATAACCGATTTCATGGGAGGCGTATACTCCTCTCGCGACGGTATAAAATTGTGAATTTCACCTTGTAGAAATCGGAGCTGGTGCATGCTGTTGTCCAATTCGTCATGGTACACTTTGTTTCGCGATAACTGCCTGACCTGGTCGAAAACCGCAGAAACAAAATTACCATCACTCTCGAACTCTGCCAGGGATGCGTTGATAGGGTGAAGTAGCAACATCACAGCATTGAGCTTTGCCCATAAGTTTGCATCGCCCACCAAAGACCTTGTCTTGGTAAGCTTTTCGCGGGGTTTTTTCTGTTTGTAAATAGAATCCAGTGCACTCTTAATAGAACCGGTTGAATGACATGCTTATTCCGCTGGACACTCTTCATGCAAGATTCGGATGTATACCAACATGTCGGAACTGGCAAGCATAGTCTGCGGCGAGACTCAAAGCTCAACCCCTTCTGAATTTTATCGAAGTGGTTCAGGAGTATGTATCGACTGAGAATATACTTCGACAACCAGGTAGCACAATTGAGAACATCTTTCACAGGCTCCAACGCGAGTACATCCTCCATGATGAGATTTATCGTGTGGGCACCACACCCATTGCAGGTCAGATTCGGCCGCTTGTCGTTCAACACTTTCCATGCATTCTTCAAATTCTTTGCATTGTCCGTCACGACACCACAGACTACGCCGGGCCTCAATTTCGTCAATAACCTCCTCAATCCGATCGGCTATATATTCCCCTGTGTGTTTATTGTCACCAGTTCCAACAGAGGACCAAAACACTGGGCTCATCCGCGGAGAGGTGGTCACAAAGTTAACGATACTCTGCTTGTTTGGGTTGGCCCACCCATCGGAAACAACGGTCACGTACGGCTCATTCTTGATTGCATCGACAACATGATGCTTTTCTCGAGCGTAGGCGACGTCGAGGAGGGGCCCGCAAGCTTGTAACGAGAAGACAACTTGAAATCCGGCCGAAGGTGCTTAAAAAGGAGCTTCATTTTAGGATCCTCAATCACACGAAAGGAAATCTCTGTTGCGTAAAACTCCATCGCTAAGTCGAGCTCAAGCTCAGCTTGGCCGTACTCGTGCAAGCGCTGACTCTTGGGCGGGGTCTTGCGAGCTTTAGATGGCGAGCGTGGCGTCCCTAGCGATCGTCGCTTCTTCTTTCTCTTGGGTGTCGACGGGGGTGAGGAGAGAGCATACCTCTGCTTTATATCGGCGGAGAAGGAGCAAGAGCGTATGTGCACTTTTAAATGTTTGCCGACTTGAGCACTGCGAAAGATCTTGTTGCGATGTGGACAGGAGACGTCCGGATGCTTCTTTCCATCGCCCTTCGGTACCACCATCTTGAAAAGAATTCATATTGGAGACGTCGGCTTCCCTTTGGCGGCATATTGAAGGGTTCGAGTCCGGAGGAGGTGGAGTAGTGCTAACAGCGATTTTCTCTATTGGCTGAGGTCTTCGATGAAGTAGTCAGGTAGAACGCGAAGTGCCTCACATCATGTGCTACAGGATTTCTGCACAAATCCAACTTTGTGGACCTCGGACTAATTAGACCTAATTAGTCCTAATTAGTGATCACTAATTAGTTTTTGACTATTTAAGTCAATGTAGTCATTTACAATCGTACAGAGCGCATATGATGGAGCAGGATCAAAATCGCCAACGCTATCGAGCAAGATCTCCTCCACGGTCCCACATTCGAAAAGGTGGAAGTGGAGGGCCCATCTTGTCGAATGTAGTGGTGCTCAATCTGGGATCATCTTTACTGTCAAGGTTAGTTCGTTCTATAGTCGTTGCAGGCGCTTTTGAAATGATTTGGCTGCACACGGCCCCCCCCCACTACGTTCCCGGCGTGACCCTCGGCTAAGAGAATTGCACAGCGTCCAGCAGTCGGCTCGCGACCAAGTTCATGAAATGAAGTCTTCTGTGCATGTAACACAAACGACACCATTTTTGCGAGTCGCCTACGGAATGCTCTACGTCGCCGGGAGGAAACGTTGCTTCGAAAGTCAAGAACCAATAGCTCTCTGCACCATGTATTTTGAGCGACTATGGCACGACCGTGCCGAGGGGGTCCGCTTTCGCGAAGCCGATAGAGTCGAGGTCTGCTGCTGAATTGCTGTCACTCGCGACGCGCTAGGGTACTGTCCTGTTCCATGAGATAGCTCCAGGTTGCGGCGGCGGTAGCAGCCTTGGGAATCTAAGGTTAGGAATACGTCCGCTAGCTCGAGTGAATCGATGTGCAGCATCCTTGACGTCGATCTACATCGCGATTGCACGTGGTCCTGCAGTGTATGCTCCACTGGTTGCGCTAGGCCTGATGTAGCCATCTCAGGAAGTACAGGAATCAGGCAAAGTGGCTTCACTCGAGCTTCACGCACCGTCGTCCGTGTCATTTCAGCCAGCCATCGCGTTGCATTCAAGCGACTTATCCTTGCGTGGGCTGCGACACCTTGTTCCCGCGGTGAAAAGGTCGCTGCATCGAAGCTCTTGTCCTGCACGAACATTCCAAGGCGCTTCAACTCGTACTTAGTCGGGTATGTAAACCACACCAGTGTCGACGCGTGCGTGGAGGGCTCCGATCCAGCCGAAGGCAGTGTGCGAAAGGCCAGAGAAGAAACGCTTGGGCAGCTCCAAACTAAGACCGCACCGTTAGTCTGCTATCTCCGGCATCTCCTACACTCTATCAACTAACTATGAGTCCTGTCAAGGTGCGCCTGCTCTGATCTTACTTGTATCCTTCGTTGCCGTGCTGACGTCGCTGTTACGCGTTGTAGACGTGCGTTGTGCTGACCTCCTCGATGGTCTCGATCGCCGAGCAAAAGTACGAGATCGGCCACCTGAAGCAATTGCTGGATGGCAACAAGATCACGTATACGGAGGTGGACTGCAGCCTCGAGGAGAACCGCGACACACGCAACCGCTACTTTGAGGTCAGCGGCATCCGTGCCAACTACCCGCAGGTCTTTCTACAGGACCCAGAGGGCAAGGACATCCAGTACATTGGCTCTTTCAAGGAGATTCAGGTACGACAGCCGCAAGTGTGCAATGCCTCCATCACCCGGATGGCTCTGGACTCACCGTTGGTGTGTGGCTTCGTTGTAGGAACTCAACGAGATGAACGACGTGCCACCCGAGATCCTTAAGGCCAACAACATCCCGACGCTCAACACCGTTTTCGCGGGTACAGCTCTCCATCCTCTGCTTCATAGAGTGAATGCTGTTTTTCGCTCTTTTTTCTAATGATCGTGTTGTGCTGTTGCTTTGCATGCAGACGTCGCAAGACGAGCTTGACTCAAGTCCTCGACTGCAGAGTCGAACCCATGAGGATAGCAGCGAAGGATGGAGCGCCACATTGCACTGGCAGGCTGACTGGTTGTCTCTCTATACAAAGGAAAAAAAAATCTAACTCGACCGACTCTGCTTCTCTATAGAGCCAGCAAGCCGCTACACAAGTTTTTAATGCAAAAAGCAATCCGCACTTGCGCTGCATCGCGCCATCTACTACATGTATTACCATGAAGAAGAAGAAGAAGAAGCCAATAGATCAACTCACACCTACTTTTTTTCGTGTCACCTCGAGCCACTGCGCTGCATTGTTTAGCTAATGCGCACGTGTTAGTAATGTTGAGGAAATAAGCAAGCATGGACGACGCCGTGACGTGGAAGATGAAGCATACCGGGACGTAGTCTTCGCTCACCCTGAGTCAGAACTGACTGCAACGCATCATAAGTTTCTCATGGGTAATATTTGCTTTTATGATACACGATGCTCTACTGCTACTCAACAAGGAGAAGGACACTCTCCTTGAGCTACGAGCTACCTGCGTGGGTCTCTGCCCGTCTTGTGCGTCCGAAAATCGGTCTACTGTAGCTCGTCTCGAGCTCTTCTCCGCCTTGTGTGGCAATGTCTGAAAAAGTCTACACCGTCATCAGGCACCGCATCACATCGGCGGCTTTCTTGGGGTCCTGAGCGAACTGCTTCAGCGCCTCCTCACCAATGCGCGACAAGTTGAGCTGGCGAATCTCCTCCACGATCTTGCCCTCCTCGAATGTAATATGCGAGGACATTTGGAACGACAGCGGCTCGTTGCTGTCGCCAAAGTGCGGCGCCAGCTCGGCGAACGGAGTCGTTAGCGGTACGTTCTTGGCCGCCTCCTTCTTCACGCTAACTTCAACCTCCCAGTTCACCAGACACTTGTCCGTAGAGTTTGGCTTCCACTGCACCGTGTACTGCTTGATCTCGTACTTAGCAAAGACACTAGCATACGATTTCTTGCTGGCGACGATGTCCGTCATGCCGGCAACACGAGCACCGCTGGTGCCGTACAGGATCTCAGCATAGTCAGCCCAAATAGCACGAGCGCTGGTCTCAAATGCCGAGCCATCGGCCTCATTGTAAGCACGAATGTACGAGGACAAGGTGGTGTTCTGCTTCTTGCGGAGATCGTTCAGTTGCGTCTCACTCAAGGGTTCGTCCGTGAGTCCAGAGTCCTTACGAGCCATCTTGGCCTTCAACGCCCCGTTCTCCTTCTCCAACTCAGCAGTACGGTCCTCCAGGAAGTTCAGACGGTCTTGCTTACGCTTGCGGCACTTGCGTACACGCTCACGGTTCTTCATACGTCGACGCTCGTCCAGGTCTTCCTGGTCCGAAACACGGTCCGAGTTGGGCGTTACACTGAGACGTGGGTCCGCTGATTGCTGCAGTGCGGGGCGGTTCATGTAATCGTACATGGGCATGTTCATGTTGGGCATCCCCGGGTGCGGCATTTGCCCATGGTGCGGTGCGCCGTGGTTCATCTGCTGACTCTGGTGGTGGATCTGTTGCAGCTGCTGCATGTGTGTCTGTGGCGGGGCCTGTTCCTGCTTGAATTGCTCACTCATGGGCATCTTCGGTGGGCTGTTGTTCGAAAAGGCTCCAGGGAAACGCATGGGCACTTTGGCGCCCGAGACGTCCTTGGGAGTGAAGCCTGAGGGCGAAATCTTGTTGTTGCTGGCGTCGACAGCACTGCGCGGTGAGTAGCCGGCTCCTGGCCGGCTAATGAAGCCATTGGAGGTCTCAGAGGGTGGGGCATTGGGCGCTTGGCTCAGACCCGTGACGTTGATACGCGGCGTGAAGCCGGTTGTGAAGCGAGGAGTGAAGCCCGAGCGAGGAGTCAGACCCGTGCTGAAGACGCGAGGCGTAAGACCCGTCTTGAAGGTGCCAACAGGGCCGCAAAAGTCTCGCAGGTCTTCCATACCAAAAGTACGCGGGCTGAGACTGATCGGCTTGGGAAGTCCACCGATTTGTTGACCGACATCGCCGTTAAGGTAGCCCGTGGAGGTGGAGAGACCCATGCCGTGGCTTCCAGCCACGTTGGGCAGTCCGAGCTCCTCGCGCGCAGAGTGGAGGCCCATGGACATGGCCGTGCTGGAGCTGGTCGGGAGGTGCTGGGCGGGAGGAGCTGCTGCACTCGGTCTCTGCGTGTGCGAACTAATTTTTGATCCGTTGGCGGCGAGAACTAGCTGCCGCGCGGGTAAGTCTAAGAAGTAGTGTTTAAACTCTGCCGCTGCGTGTCAAGCTCGGGGATCTTTCGTAACGACAGTGCGAGAGCGCGTTAGCTGCTCGGGCCTGGCGAGTGTCGTGCGTGTGGGTTGGTGTCTGCGTGTTCGGGACGCAGCACGTTACACGTAGCGGGCAAAAGAGATTATGTAATGATGGGGAGGCTGTGCTCTGCGCTGGGCTCTGCTGGTTTCGCTCTCCGGCTCGGCTGGTTGGTCCGTCGTTGTGAAGTTGCGGCCAGAAGAGAGAATCGAGTCGTGGTGGTGGGTTCCTTTGCCTAGTTTAAAACAACGGGAGAGCGCTGCCTTATCGAATTCCACATGATAAGCCTGTCGCAGTGCTTTTGTTAGGGAGAGAGTTTCAGTACAATCGATGCGGCTGTTTCTGGGCATCTGGGTTAAAGAGCCGGACCACGACTTGAGCGGCAACTTGGCTCCGAATGCCTTCGAAAATGGCGAGCGTCGAGCTGGCCCGAGGTGATAGCTCGCCGGTGCATCAATGCAACTCGCCACAAGCGGAGAGAGCAGTAACAATAGTGTAGTTGAGGATGGAAGCGCAAAGGTGGCTGTTAGGCAAGCGATCACCACAGCGCTGAGAGCTTTGACTTCCACCACGTCAGCACGGCAGATGTCCACGACGCAGTATCTTTTGGAGCTGGCGTGCCACTGCTGGGCACCGATTGTCCAACCGTGGAGACTGCTCGGGCTCTGCTGCGGGCAAGGCTGGTGCCGGTTGTTGGCGACAACTTGTTGCTCTTTTCTCCATGAAGTTCTTGGACGCCAGCAGGGGAAGACGATAGTGGTTCGCGTTGACCCGCTGGCTGTGCCACGCCGGCAGCTGGTAGGCGGGTGAAATATTAGTGCAACTTGGCGATCTCCAGGGTCGATGGCGCTGCGCTTTCGAGCCACGCGGCGGAGGTGAATGAACTTCATCGTGAAGGCACGCAAAAGGCTGGCAATCATTTTGTCATCGCGCTCGATCTCTGCTTTGTTGAAAAAGCATCGAAAAATCCACCCTCGCAACATGCATCAGTCAAACATGTTGCCCCCGCTCAAAGCTTCGTCGTCTCTTGTAGCGCAGCGAGACTGCCGTGGTACAATGCTGCTGCGAGCCATCACGGTGTCAGCGTGACGGAAATGCAGGCAAGACCAGCAGGATGTAGGACATTACGATAAAAATCCGATTTCATTCGGAGCTGCATTCGAGGTCTCTCGTCCTGCAACGTCATGTCGCCTCTCGGCTAAAAGCTCACCAAGAATTTATTAATGGTAAAAAGTGACTTTAAAAGGGCTATGTATTGATACATGTACCCCATCAATCCTCTGAACGTTTTGTTGTCGTTGGAGAATATGCATGGATGACATCTCAAACGTTTCTGACAGAAACTGTTAGCTCCGAAAAAGAGACCGGAGGTAACACCTCGTGCTAACGAGTAGCTACAGTAACCATGTCTGCAACACGTGAGTAAATTCAACCTCAAAGGCAGCCGTACTGCATGGCATGCGCCAACAATTTCTTTGGTGTTCACATTGGGCGGACCGCTAGTCGATCCGTCGGACAAGTCGCAGATCCATTACTCGCGTACTAGCTCACCACGAAACAGCGCGTAAGTAATACATGTTCACCGCCAACGCATGGTTGAGGGTAGCCACTGTAAAATGTTTGAGATGTTTGAGCACAGGCGCCAGCAGAGGTTGTCAACGTCTGCATTATTATTTCGCATTTCGCAGGTTTCGGAAGGCGTGTTCACAATAGGGAGAGCGTTTTAGGTGGAGCTGTATTTGGCGTACTCAATGGGAAGTTCGGTTAAGAAGAACACTGTCACTGTCTAAGAGGACAGTGCAATCGCGTATGGCATGTATCAGTCCGTGAATGTAAGGCAAATGGTGAGGCTGTCCTCGCAGCGAATGGCTTCTACAAATTGCGTCCAGCAAACTATACGTCAAGCCAACAATGAGGGCTTCACTTCACCCTCATTCATGAAGTCCATGCGTGCTCAGTTGAACCTGGAAGATACCATACGGCACAGCGCATGGCGAATTTGTACGGTGCGCGTTCAGCTGGGCCGGCAAACATGTTGTCTTCTGACTCGCTCCTGAGTTGTGGCACTCTGGTGGCATGTCCCCAGGTCATCTGGCCAAAGGCTACACGTATCCATTGGGCATGTGGCGCCTACTCGAAATGAAATAGGGGTGAGTGAGATCTACTGCACTGGGCCTGTCGCCCGATATTTCTCCAAAAGAGCGATTTATTAATACTTGCTGTAACCTCGTATGGGCGGTGTAAGCTAGCAGCAAGTTCCTCACGCGCTACTTTGTCACGTGGAGCATCTTCTTGCAGTCACTGCAGCCATACACGGCAGCCTACGCTAGAAAAGTTGTTGGTGTTGCATGTGGTTGAGCAACTTTCACAGTTACAAAACCATTTCATGTATGCACACATTACAGTACCGAAATGTACGTTTGATTTCTTCAATTTGTGTGTCAACACATTATTATGTTGCAGGTGTGATGCATTCACGCACCACAGGAATGTTTGACGAGCTCATTTTCGCCGTTCAAAACGCTGCAAGTTGTACAGTAGCTCTAACACCATGGTATTCGGATCAATGCGCCACGCAGCCCAGCATCTCCGCCAGTCCGCCAGAAGTGCGGCTACTCGCCGCGCCTCTGTCTCTGCTTCCACCTCCTTTGCATGCGCTCCACGTGGCGTCGTGCAGCAAACCCGTGTCAATGCTGCACCGTTCGCTGCTCAGCCGCAGCACGTGAAAGCGGACCCGACGGGTATTGTGGCCGGCATTGCCGTCGTAGGTGCTTTGATTGGCGTGGGCAAGATGTGGTGGGACGCGTCGTCGTCTAGCACAACGGATCCACTCGCCTTCCAAGATATTCCGCAGGCAGAGATCGCTCTTTTCTTTACGGAACTTACGGCTGCTGTCAAGGACCTCTTCGTACGCGTGCTGCAGCTTCTCTTCCATGATATTGATAGAGTGTTGACATTTATTTGTAACTATATATTGGTAGAAACAATTACCGGAGATTGAGAACGCCGTCCGCAAGTACCTGAAGGACAACAACCACGAACTGAGCGACGCCGAGTTCAAGCAGGCTATTCTGTCGCAGCTGTATCAGATGATGGAAGGTATTGAGCAACAAATCGTTGCCAAGCGCCAGTGGAGCCGCCAGAGTCTCGAGTTTGCGCTTGAGAAGTACGGGCAGGACCCGGAGATCCTCAAGCTCCAGGAAGACCTGAACACCATCATGCGATCGTAAGTTGACTACCATTCTGGCTGCGGTTTTGAGGCGTCGATAGCAACTGGAAGCCTATATGATACTAACATATAGTGTACAGTGTGTTCCCTGCTCCGGTGCCCGTGGAGGTTCCAGAGGATCTCACTGCCGACAAGACGCTGGCGATTTTGAAGGAAATGGTGGCTGGTATGGAGAAGGCCATGGCGGACATGCTTGCCCATGCCCGAGCGGAGGGCATCACCGACGTTCAAAAGGCTATGGAGGAGTTCCAGTACCTATACATGGAGCACGTGGAGCAGATGACCCAGGCCCAGATGAAGACCCACGGTATCTCGCAGGAGGTAAGCATGCTTAGTCACTTCGAACTATACGATGGATATCTGACGAACTGTGTGATTCATTGCTCGACTTCAGATTCTTTCGGCGGCTCTGCAGAAATACCACGGCGAAAGCGAGCAGTTCCGGCAGCAGGTGGAGCAGATCTACGCTCAGCAGGCAAAGGCGTAAGTTTAGAGTCACTTTTGAGCATTATATGAACGGTTCTAACATTAACGTTTTGCATGTATTATCTACAGCTTCCAGAAGATGGGTCTGCCTGTGGAAACCCAATAGAGAGGAGGTTAGATGTCCAACCTCTTGAGTGCTGTAGAATTTTGCCTTGAGCATTGTAGAAGCACCGGGTGAAGACGTAAACGATGCATGTAGCTGTAACATGATCAATAGATCTATCGCAGCACTTTTGCAATTTTGCCAATGAACTCTCATTGCAGTCGTCACCAGTGCATTCCAACACCTGTAGCTAACTCCAATATAACTGCCACACCTGTGAAACAGAACACTAACTGCAACATAAGCCAAAGAGTAGTCCAATTAGAAGAAGCAGCAAGAGTTGTCGATCTTGTTGAATTCGCTTAGGTCACCCCGCGCGTTGAAACGCGGGGATCATCGTCCACCACAATAATGCCAGAATCTCAGCAATCTCCACGAGGGAACAAAGCCAGAAAGCGTCACCCAGCAGCAACTTACTTGCCGCCAAGGATGCCGACCGTGCGGCCACGACGGCCGGTGGTCTTGGTGTGCTGACCGCGCACCTTGAGGCCCCACCAGTGACGCAGACCACGGTGAGCGTAGATCTTCTTGAGACGCTCGTAGTCCTCGCGCCACTTGCCCTGCAGGTTGTTGGCCACGACCTGCGAGTGCTTGCCCGTCTTGAAGTCCTTCTGTCTGTTAAGGAACCACACCGGGATCTTGAACTGCAGGGGGTTCTGGATAATGGCCACGACGCGCTCAATCTCGTCGTTGGTCAGCTCACCGGCACGCTTGGTGATGTCCACCTCAGCCTTCTTGCAGACCATGATGGAGAAACGGCGGCCCACACCCTGGATGGCGGTCAGAGCGACCCACACCTTACGGCGACCATCAATGTTGGTGTTAAGAATACGCAGAATGTGCTGGAAGTCCGGCCCGATGACAAGCGACTGAGTGACAGCAATAACAAACATTAGCAACCTGGATCTGTTATGTTGCAGAGCTGTAGTCTCGGTGCTTCCAAATGAGTACAGCAAGGGAGAAGCATGCGTCACGTTGACCTCGCGACCGTGTCACTAGATATCCGATAAGCTCCTGTTACTGCGTTGCTGGCTGATGGTTCCCTGCGTTTGCATGCTTGCTTTCACGCCTCCCTTGCTGTACTCATTGGTCGCCTCCCTAATATAGGCACGGGGAAAGCCACTCACCATGGTTAACGAATGCTTTTGCTTCTGGCAGTGGGAACAAAGTGGAAGGCGCTGGGTGTGGCTGGTTGGCTCAAAAACCCAGCTCACTTGAGTTCACTATGCCCTTGCAAATGACTGGCAGTCGGGACTCGGCGCTGCGCACAGCCAGTAAAAACGCTCGATCACTTTATGGCCAATCAACAAGCGTGAACTCTCCCATTTATAATCCTTTCAAACGGCATACTAAACTTAATAAATCGTTTCCATTCTATTATGCAGGAAATTACGCATGACAGTATAGCGGTATCGTATCTATTCGAACATAAGGTTGACCATGGCCCTCTATTTGAAGCATCACTAAGATCCCCCCTTCGCTATTTTAGCCCAAAGATTTCCGAGTAGGTCCAGAAGAATGAGCGACTTCCGCCGTACGCAGAACACCTTCGGGGACGCCTTCCCTACCGCCGATCAGCTGCACGGTGGCTTCAACTTCGACAACTGTCGCCGCAATGAGCTTCTGCTTAGCCAGTCGGGCGGTAAGCAGAAGCTCAAGGCCACCAAGACGGGCACTACTATCGTCGGCGTCGTCTACAAGGCAAGGCTGCAGCAAACGGGGATTATTACGACTGTATCATATCATTCCTCATGGTTACTTATCGTTGTAATAAATGCAGGACGGCGTGGTGCTGGGAGCAGACACGCGCTCGACCGGTGGCTCCATCGTCATGGACAAGAACTGCGAGAAGATCCACTACATCGCGCCTAACATCTACTGCTGCGGTGCCGGCACGGCCGCAGACACCGAGAACACCACAGCTCTCATTTCGTCGCAGTTGGAGCTGCACCGCCTGGTACGCTGGACTAGTTGAAGTGAATATATGTTGGACTCTAACAGTTTGTTTGTTGATTGCAGAACACGGACACGCAGTCGCGTGTGGTTACGGCCATGACGCTGCTGAAGCGGATGCTGTTCCAATACCAGGGCTACGTATCGGCTGCGCTTGTGTTGGGCGGCGTCGACGTTACCGGCCCGCACCTTTACACCATTTACCCCCACGGAAGGTGAGCTCACTAGATCCCAGAGCATGGTGTTGCTGAAAATCCGCTGATCTGATCTTTTCTTGTAATATATGACAGCACGGATAAGTTGCCTTTTGTGACGATGGGATCGGGTAGTCTGGCCGCTATGTCGGTGTTCGAGCACGGCTACAAGGACGACATGACGGTATGAAGTCGGGTATTTGTTATGGTGAAACGCACAAGGTCTGACGCCGTATACTTCTGTTTTTCAGGAGGACGAGGCAAAGAAACTGGTGCAGGAGGCCATTCTGGCCGGTATTTTCAACGATCTGGGCTCGGGCAGCAACGTGGATGTGACGACAATCAAGAAGGTCAACGGCAAGGTGGAAGTGGTCAAGGAGTTTAACTGTATCAAGCCCAACGAGGTGTCGGAGCTGCGCTCGCAGATCAACCGGGACATCGTCACGCACATCCCGCGCGGAGCTACTCGTACGTTTAAGCTACTTACTACTGTGAAAGACTCGCGAGCTTTGTAACTCATTTTTGTGTTATGTTCAGATGTCCTGAGCTCCAAAACAGAGCTTTTCCCTGCCAACATTGTCGTCGAGGAAGCCACGCCCATGGAACTGTAGACGCAGATCGCTGCTTACCTGGCATTCTGACGTGATACTAGACCGAAATGGCTAAAATTGCGAAAGAGATTGCACCTTTGAACGATTATTTGCTTTGGTAACGTCATCCATTTTTGCAGATCAAATCTCCAAACTAATGCCTTTTTTAACGCTAGTCCTCGTGCACCGGCATGATCATATCCGCTGTCAACTGCAGCTTCTCTACAATATCTGTGGGGATAGCAAACGTCGGGTGAATCTGTCGAATACCTTGATACTCTGGGTGATTCTCCTTTTCACGGTCAAAGTATCCAAGCATGCACAGTCCAGCGATACCGAAGAACGTGTGGAACACGTCGGCCACATTTCCAGGACGGTCAGCAATCCCTCCATCTTCGGGGTCCTGACACGCGAGAATGAACTGAATGAGCTTCTCCTTGCTGATCCAGTCGAGCTTGCCGATCATGATAAGCGACGAAATGTTCCACCAACTGTAGCATACGTCAGCCTGCTTCTCGGGTCTTCCATTCAGTCCTCCAGAGTCGCATTGGCGTTCACACAGCCACCAGCCCAGCAGTTCGTCATCCACATACTGCTCCAAAGCGAAACCCAGCGACAACGCTCCCACAGCCGTAAAAATGTGGCCGCCGTGCGACTCACAGCCGGGAATGTTACCGAAGCCGCCATCAAAGTTACGGCATGTATCAATGTACGCCGTAGCGCTCTCCACGTCTATGAGCTCCAATTTGTCCAGGATCTTGAGTGCTGATAGCGCACAGTACGTGAACTTAGTGTCGATCTCCTTCCACTCGTCACCGGCGAAGGAGCCGTCGGGTTGTTGTAGCGACGCCACGTACTTGGCGCACTCGTCGCGCTTTATCCGGTCCAGAGCGCCCAGCATGGCCAGAATCAGCAACGCGTGCAATGTGTAGAGCAGGTGGCGGTCGTGGCCCACATTGCCGGAGAATCCTCCGTCCGGGTGCTCACACTTCATCACCCACTCCACGATCTCGGCCGGATCCATCTCTTCCTCGCGGTTTAGCAGCGCCATGGCCCCCACGCCCCAGTACAGGCCGCTCACACGCATGTGCTCCGTCATGCAGGACTCAAAGTCCTCCTTCTTGTTCTTGAGCCCCACAAGGTAATTGACATGCAGCGCCAGGTCGAAGGCCGGCGGCTGCGACTTACTCTCGTCGTCGGTGCTCATGATGGATGCTGTCGGAAAAACTGTGATCCACAACAAACTCTGAGATCTGATAGAATCACATAAATAGATACCTGTACAATATTCGTGTGGGCCACATTGTGGAATCACTTCAACTTGACTGCAAGAATGGATGATCCTGGTACTCGATTGGTATTGTATTTGTGTTTACAAATGCTATCTTCCCTTGGGCTGTTTTCTATCTCTTACGACCGCTAGATTTGGACGGTGGGGCGAGCGACATCATGTCGTATCGATCGTCTACCATGCTGTGTAAAAGCACATATCGCTCACGTCCTACGCCGCGCGAGTTCGAATTCGGAGTGAGCGATAGCACCTCCTCCATGGTATACTTGAGTTGTTTCCGGTACCTTGGGTTATTAGCACATACAGTGTCGATGCCGTTGCGTCCCTCTTCCATCAGTGCTGATGACATCTCGCGTACCAACGCAAACGGCAGATCAACACTCAGCACTTTCATGGCTTCCTCCCCTCGCGATGAAAAGCTGGACGAGATCCACTTGGACACGCGACGCTGAACCTTCTGCGTATCAAGCTGATAGTTGCGGTAATTTCTGTCCCTTGATTGGTACTTCGCGTCGACCACCCTTACATCAAAGATTGGTTGCAACGTATTGCCATTCGACGAGGAATTGCCGCCACCACCGCTGTTGCTGTTGTTCATATTGTCAGCAAAATGATTGTTTCCACGACCACCAGTTGTAGTATCGCCATGCGAGTGTTTGCCAAAGTTTGCCAGCAACTCGCTGATGCATTCCGATAACGACGCCACATTCGTTACCACGTCAGCTTCAGAATGGCTTTTCACCGCTCGAATCTTCACTTGCTGTTTATCTCGTATCATATGCTTCTGAACGATCACCATCCAATGTACATTTTGCTGTGCGCAATAGTCTTCCAAGTCTTCCAGATGCAGCGGTTCTGGGTGAAGATAGTCTGCGCCGATGCCCTGTCCCCATAAGAGCATGGCAATCTGCATTCGGAACAGTATCGTATCGGACGCCTTACCAGCTGAGCAGATCAGGACCTTGCGGCCACCAGTCAATACTTCTGAGGCTGGTGATTTCATCTCCAACAACGCAGAATTCATGGAATCAGCGAGTAACGAAACAATCTTATCGATGGCAAAACGCACCCCCATAGCAGCGACTGCAGAGGCTTTCGCGTACGCCGTCGTGAGCTGGAAACGTGAAACCAGTGCGTCGTAGCGTCCACCCTCGGCGATGATGATCTGGTTATCCGTCGCTGCCACTAACAGCGATGCAACTTTACCAGCATTATTGCCACCATTAGTGGACTCTTCAAGCAGAATAGCCTGGAAGATGAAACCTGACGAATACCTCTCTGGACGCGGACTCAGCCCCAAGTCTAATCGTTTGCACACCGGACCGGACAGCTGGAGGAACTGCATACCCTGCAGCAACAAACGCAACGACGTGATGCCCTCATTCACGTCCTTCACAACACGTCGCAGCTGGATATCCCGCTTTTGAATTTGCTTTCGGTCTGCAGATGAAGAGCCAGTCTCACCATCTGTGTCTGTGGTCGAGTCACGAGTTGTAAGAGCTCGATTCTTGGCAAACAGTTTCTGTATTTCCAACTCGATCATATCCAGCGACGTCAGACAGTCTTCAGGTAACAGGAAAAATGGCTTTAGTGCCTCAATAGCGCTTGGTGGTGCACCGTAATGCTTCAGTCGCTTGGCTACGAACTTCCAACGACTCGGTTTCAAGCTAGGTGCTTGCGTGGCGGGCGGACCAGCGTGTACGTAGAACGAAACCTCGTTTGAAAGCAGACGCAGTACCTCGCGACGTGCACTACTGGGAACCCGACATAGATCGAGAATACCGCGCGTCATTCGGGCGTCATTGAAGCGTAGATAGTAGGATCCTAGATGACTTGGTAACGCTCTGATCACTCCAGACACGACTTCTAGACCTTCCAGCTCCAGGAATCGGAAAGAACCTCCATCGTCCCAAATAATGTCGAAATCCGACTCGTTAAACTCACGCGGATGACCGCCACCAACACTCTTCCGGTAGACTCGGTCGAATTGGAAACATTTGAGCCTTGAAACGTTGTGTCGTGCAACAAACCGCGCAAGTCTCTCAGTCAGATCAAATGGCAGCGACACCGACACGCCATTACCATCCAGCATCATTGATGCGTTCGGTGGAGCATTAAGAGTGATACCGTTAAAGGTCTGCTCCGACAGTCGTGGCATTAGCAACGGCGTCGACATTTCAACCGCTCCATGACGCTCGAACACTTTCTATAACAAGATATTACGTAGTTTTGATTAGACTCAACACATAACATGCAACGCAACGCTACGAACCTGTAGCACATTCCTGACGTAAGTTTTCGTGCGCAGTTGGACCTCGTAGCTGCGCATTTTGACGGACTCCAGGTGGTCGTAGGTGTAATCGACGTGGTTGAGAGGCTCTTGTGAGACCAGGGCATCAATAAGCTGTCCGAAGAACTTGCCCTGCGGGTTTGCGAGTGTATCCAGAGCTTCACGAAGATAGGACCCCTCAACCTCTATCTTGGCAGGCAAGAGAGGGCTCGCCAACAACTCTTTTGCATTTGGTCGCTTGGATGGGTCACGTTCGCAAAGCCACAGAATTATTTTCTTAACATCATCCGAGACGCTGAAAGCTTCTGGAAGTTCATGTCTTTCTCTCAGTCCAGTAAGTGCTTGTGCACGCTCCATCAACGTTGTGAACGGCGGCGACCACATCTCGAAGAACAAGATACCAAGTGAGAACAAGTCTGCCTTCTGATTGTATCGCTGGCCTTCTCGTTCCTGCTCAGGTGCTCGATAGAACGCTGTGCCGACTCCAGCAGTGATATTCCCGTCGCCCACATCCGCTGACATTGTCGTCATGAGGTTACTGTTCTGTACACTTGACCGCCCGACAACTCGCGTACTCTCCAAGTTCTCCAGCTTCAAACGTCCATACAGCTCAGCAGCTGAAGACCCCGTCGACTCGGACAGAATAGTGCCAGTCGCAGTTTCTCCGGGTGGGGTAGAGTCGTCGTTGCTGTCATCTTCCAAGACCTTGGGAGGGCGAACAGCTAGACCAAAATCGCCTAACTTGACGGTTCCTTCGGAGTCAAGGAAGATATTGGGCGGTTTGATATCGCGGTGGATGATACCCTGTCGATGAATATACACGAGAGCCTCCAGGATTTGGCGGAACATCGTCCAGATCTTGTCGGGATCTTTCCACAGTGCTCCCTTGTCAATCACCTCTCTGAGAGCATTCCCTTCGCAATATTCCATCTGGATGTACAATTTCTCGAACTTCCGCTTCTTCTCGGGTACAGGATTTCTATGTGGCAATACCTTTTGATGATATCCACCGTCTTCATCGTCGCTGGAGTCATCCATCTCTTCCATTGGAGCTTCTTCCAGTGCCTCCCACTCGAATCCATCCTCTGGATAGTTTTCGGACGCTAAATGATGCGAAGAGAAATGGAATGAGTGGCTATTGCTGCGGAGACTACGGGTATCATGGCGAGATGTCGACCACAGTCCTGTACTGCTACCCATCGTGCCTAACCAGTCGTCTTCGTCTTCGTCTGTAGAGGTCATGGGCCCCAATCCATCGGACGAAAGACTCACATCCCCGTATATATCTTCTTTCCCACTTACGACGGCGTCACTTAGCTCAATCTCTTCATCACTTAAGTCACTGTCCTCTTCTTCGTCGTCACTGGACATTCCGCTTTCGCCCTCAATCCACGCCTGGAAGTACCTCACGATGTGTCGATGCTGCATTCGTGAAATAGTCTTCACCTCACGCAAGATCTTCTTCTTCATCGTCTTATCATCCGGATCCAGTTTCACTTTCTTAACAGCATAGAGCTGTCGGTCCAGGCGATTCTGCACCTTCACCACTTCACCTCCTCCTCCACGTCCCAAAAGTCCAAGCTCCTTAAAGTCTCCGTGATATCTCGAGTGGTATCGTTCCGCAGCTGCTGCAGCATCCAAATCCGACGTATCTGAGTCCGAGTCCGACGAACGTAACGAGCTGGCATCATCTCTCTTCGAGCTCGCCTCGGTCTGCTGTTCATAAATACTCGACAGACTCTCCACGTCGTCTCGACTCTCTCCGTCGCTTCCGTAATCCTCTCCATCAATACTTGATCGGTGTCGTCTCCGCCTCCGTCTCGTCTTCTTTATGCTTTCTCTCTTCTTCCTTTCGGCGTCAATCAGCGCCAGAATCTCCTCATTCTTGGCTTTGGCTTGCTCCTCCTGTTGTTGCAGCAGCGCGTCCTCCGCCAGTTTTTCTTTGGTTTCTCTGTCCTGTTGACGCGTCATCATCTGGTCGAAGAACGATGACTGGTCTTTAAGATGGTCCTGGATGAAATCTGTGGCGAACACCACGAGGTCATAAACCGCGGCATCTCCGACCTTTTCGAGCGCGAGTTTCTCCATTCCGCGCTGTAGTTTTTGTGTCTCCGTGTCTGACAGTCCGTGCTTGGCTTCCACTGTAATGTTGGGCGGTTGTTTGAGAGGATAGGCTCTTGTGAAGTCGAAATGCAGCAGCACTTCGGCGGTCGTTGCTGAACCTGGGGTGGCCTCACATAGCAGTCGAATGGCAAAAATATACGAGTACAACGGCGTGGAACTCTGCGTCACCAGATCACAGTCATATATGGCTTGCAGCACCTCCAACTCCTGGGCCTGAAGCTCGCGCGCCTCGGCTAAAGTGGCGGCATCATAGGTGGCAGGGGCGTCTTGGGTCGCGGCGTGGGCGTCTACAGGAAGAAAATGGACAGAATTTGAGCGGAAATTTACGTCATTAAACGTGGGAGGTGTATGCACAGTGGTGTACCTCTCTTCTTCCCCCTCTTCCGGACCATGGACCGAACCCGAACAGCGCGAAGACGAAGGACGCAATGGGGCAGGAAGGCCCAGATGAAGAGCGATAAACTGTACTCATTCGGGAGTATACAATCGTACTTAAGGTGGTATTTGAGTGCATTGCATGTTGTGAGTACAGATCGATGGAGGAGGCAATCACGCGGATCAACGAGCTCCGACCCAGGTATGTGTTCCTGACAGCGAAAAGCGGCGCTGGAAAGACGTACTTCTCAAATCGCTTGAAAGGGTATACAGTGGTGGAGTTGGATGAAGTGGTGAAGAGCACCGGGGAAGCTTTTGGGCTTGACGAGGCGGCAGCGATCAAGATGTACAAGAATGCTTTACCTGCCCCTGTCATGGACGCATTTGTGATAAATATTCACTCCATCTTCCGACAGCACCCTAAGGCTCGTATTGTGATCGAAGGAGCGATTGCAGAAGCAGCACTGGTTAAGAGGATCTTCTCGGGTTCATACGCTGCGTTCATGTTTGTGTATTTATACCCGGTCGACGTGAATGCGTACGCGTTGCGGATGATGAAGCGCTTCAAGTACGAGAAAGAGAACGATATTCGCAGCCTGTCAATTTGGCCAAAGGTGACGTCACAGCTTGAAGAGGCTGCGTACGAGTCGGACGAACTGATGCTGTTTATGCTACGAATGGCTCGGGAATCGATGACTAAGTCAGCGCTCCGCTACGAGTACTTTGAGAAAAACGGTCTAGTCATGGTTCGGGTAGACGTATAAGCTGTGGTTCATGCCATACCACTTACAATGCTTGTCAGTTTGACAACACAGACGTCGCATTAGCGCTTAAAAATCGAGTTCGGTGGCGTTGCTAGCAATAATTTTCACAGCCGAAGCAAGATTGTTGAGCGGCACGCAGGGTTTCGTCATGAACTGATTGCAAACACAGCATTTTCGCGATCAGCAGCTAGCCGCTCGCTTGTTTATGATGAAAATTGAAAAGTGCTGGGAGGTCGAAAACTGTGTAATAAAGACCGTCACTCACGTTTGTGTGAGCCCGTGCCTTCATGCGTGCCGCCACCGTTTACGAAATGGCTCGACCCCTGCGAGCAAATCCCAGCGTGATTAGCTGACGTACCAGCTCTGCAACTGCGACTTTGAGCTCACTTCAGAATTTGCTGCCTCTTGCACACCAAGCAGAACTCTCCATCCTCCACCAGTGTCAACAGTACAATGACCGCTAAGATCCGTGTCGGTCTCGTAGGCTTCGGAACGGGCTCCAGCGTCTTTCACGCGCCGCTGCTCATGAGCTCGGGCCAATTCGAGCTCACGCATGTGCTGGAGCGTTCGACTAGCAAGAGCCAAGTGCTTTCACCTGCGCCTAAAATTGTGCGCTCCATGGACGAACTGCTTGCCACGGACATTCAGCTCGTGGTCATCTCCACACCCACGACCGTGCACTTCGAGCAGGCCAAGCAGGCGATGGAAGCCAAGCGCCACGTGATCGTGGACAAGCCGCTGTGCGTCACGGCGCAGCAAGCCAAAGACTTGAGCGCCATTGCTAAGGCCAACGGCGTTCTGTTCTCCGTCTTCCACAATCGCCGCTTCGACAGCGACTTCCTCACGCTGCGAGGCTTGATCGAGGACGGCACCCTTGGAGAAGTGCAGAAATTTGAGGCCCACTACGACCGCTACCGTCCCAACATGAAGGGCTACTGGAAGGAGAAGGCCGGCCTCTGTGGAGGTGTGCTTTACGATCTGGGTGCTCACGTGACGGACCAGGCGCTGCAGCTCTTCGGTGAACCCGATTCGGTCGTGTCCGATGTGCAGATCCAGCGTGAAGGAGCCGAGAATGACGACTACTTCCGCCTTGAGTTTAAATACGACAAGTTCCCGGAACGGGAGGTGATACTGAGCGCTGGAATGCTAGTAAAGAACCCTGGTCCGAAGTATACCGTTGTGGGTACCAAGGGAACGTTCGTCAAGTACGGCGAGGACGGACAGGAGGATGCTCTGCGTGCTGGCAAGCGTCCTGGTGACGAAGGCTGGGGTCAAGAGCCCGAGAACACCTATGGCAAGTTCACGGACGCTACTACGGGGGAGACTCGCGTCATTCCCAGCAAACTCGGATCGTACGAAGTGTACTACAAGAACATTGCAGCGGCTATCCGTGGCGAGGAGAAGCTGCTGGTGAACCCGGAAGAGGTGATTCCGCAGATTCGCATCATTGAAGAAGCCAAGAAGACCGAGCGTGTGAACCGCATTACTATGTAAGTACGATAGAACGCTTACATTGTTGTGTTAGTCGATCTGGGGATGGTAGTTCTTGGAGAAGCGCTTATCAGCTAGTTCGATCTGTTATCGCAAGCGGAGAAAGATGAGAATGATGAAGAAAAATGTGGATAAGAGTTTGAAAAGTACCTCGTCGAATGTGCATTGCAAAAGCTCTCTTAACCGCATGTTCTCAGCTTGCAGTGCTGCGTTTGCATTCAAAGCCTCTTCCAGTGCACGAGCAGCCCCACACGAGCAAGTTGAGACGTCATCTCCGAGCTGGTTGCCGCTCAAGCCCTCGGAATCATGGTGATGTGATACTGGCCTGCAGATACAAACGTGGCAGGTTGAGAAGAAAGCGGCTAATTAACCCCATTGAAAAGCTTACGAAAGGGACTCTTCTTGGTCGTTGTAGCTTCGAGAATCACTCTCAGACTGGAACGTGCTTCGATCTGATAGTTTTGGGACACCAAACCTCCTGTTGATGTCTAAAACGTGGTGCTCGAGCTCTTCAAGTGATATCATTTTGATAATGTTGTCCCCGCCGTCACATACTACCAATTCCGAGGTCTCCTTCCTCGATGTGTTATACCATGAAATGCAAACAATTCCAAGAGGATGGCAGCATTGATAGAGCTCTCGTACAGATCGAGGTGCTTGAGGTATGCATCCCACTTCAATTGTGCGTACCCAGGCGAAAGCCAGACCATTACCATAGCCGCGCCCAACTTGACGGATGCAGGCGTTTCCTCTGTCAGACACGAAGAATGTGTCGGTGTTCGCTCCCCAACACAAACTAATCGGCTGGTCAAGCAACGCAACCTCGCAGTTCCCATCAGCATGTCCTGGTCGGTCCTGCCCACATATCGTGTTGACTTTCCAATGAGAACTACCGTCGGAAGATGGAAGGAGTCCTCGAATGCGATTGTTCATAGTGTCGGCCACTAGAAGTTCCCCATGGGGGCCTGAAATAACAGCAGACGGACTTCGAAAGAGAGAACGGACCCCATCTCGATACCCAGAGACTCGTTTGGATTCGAATCGCTGAGTGCCACCTCCTTTCGTCGTTTCCAAGCCTGCGTGTGCTCCTGCAATAGTCTTGACTACTAGCTTTCCGCTGACAGCCCGTCGAATCTGTCGGATACAGTGATTGCCTGTGTCTGCTACGATGATCGTGCCGTCAGGATACTCACAAATACCTGCTGGGGAGTTGAAACTAGCCTCGAGTGCAGGTCCATCGCGCCATCCTTTCTTGCCGTTGCCAGCAAGGGCAAACATCTCCACCTCGTCAGTGATACTATCCATGTCTGTAAGTGCACTTCTACTGGGCAACGCAGCGAGTTTGATCTTATGATGTCCTGTATCGCACACAAAGAGATGTCGATCATCTGAAGACGCAGCGATCCCCTTTGGAGTGAGCAGCCCTGAACTCTCGACAGACTTCACGTAACAGCTTCGCACACCTCGCTGAGTTTCCGAGATGACAAAGCGCACAGCATTATTCTACAGCAAAGTCAAAAGTTAGAATAATAAAGTACTCTCCTACAATGGACACCCGGTCGTTGTGATCAAACGTACGTGAGTATCAGTGAACGCCAAAGTTCCGTCATGTAGTGCACAGATCCCAAACGGTCGATTGAGCTCTGCTTCGTGAACGTCTCCATCTAAATGCCCTCGCCTACCACACCCAATCCAATATGCTCCACCCACATCATTGCCACGGTCACTGTGGCTCCGTCGAGCCATTTTACTAGATCATGCGAATGAATTGGTGGTACCACATCACCAACGGACGTGGGAAGTTTTCCGTCGGTTCCAGCTCAGTCGCGAAACTACCCAGCAGAGAAGAGCAGCCAGCACGCAGTGGTAGTGGGAAAATCTCCATGGAGCGCTCTTTGTCGTGTTCCGGTGCGCGGCTTTGCTCGTCGCTCGTCGTGGATAACCAGGATGCGTCGACCTTCTTCGCTTCGAAGAGCGCGTCGTCATCACCTGAAGATCGCGGTCGGGACATCCTACTGGAACTATTGAAGCAGATCATGGAGTTTCTCGAGCGCAAGGAGATGATGAGCACTCGCGTTGTAGCGTCCAAGGAGTGGAGGAAGAGTAGAAGTCGACGACGCTCTGAGAACAGCAATAACCTGTTCGAAGTGGTGATTCAGGTCTGCGAGCAGCGCATGAGACGTCTCAAACGATCGGTAGGGCGACAGTTAGCAAGAGAAACAGAAAGGGAACTAATGATGGTGGCTTAACTTGTGTATATGGGGTAGATTTCGGGGGATTTTGGAGGACGAGAAGAAGAAGAGTGGAGTGCTCAATCTCCACGAATGTTGGTAGCTGAAGCTATCGTTCAGGAACTATTGGTGAGTTTAATGGAGCTGCGAATGAAGGAGAAGGAGACAATGGTGATGGATGAAGTGGAGAGTGTGGAGATCATGCGTCAACTGCACGTGCATCTACAGAAGGACGAGGAGTTGGTACGTGGGTTGATAATATTTTTGTTATCTGGCTACTTTCTTGCTAACTGTTTGGGTTGACAGGTACGCAGTAAAGTTTGTATCGGAGCTGGAGATGAACAGCAGTTGGAAGAACTTCAGTTAATGCTAAGGACGGATTTCTTAGAAGAAGTGGCGGGTGCTGAGAGTCCACAGAAGAAGCAACAGGCAGACTCAGCAGCGAATAATGAGGCTTCATTACAGTTCGCATGGGAAACAATTGATGATCAGAAGAAGGAGATCATCCGACTACGAGCGGAAAATGAAAGACTCAAGCACTTGGACAGCCGCTCCGATGCCAATTCAGCGTCATTTTTCGAGGACGAACCTGCCAAAGTGATCAATTTACTCCGTTCAAAGCTGTCCTCTCACCACGAAAAGAATTTGGACATCCTCCACGATCACATTCAGAGACTGGAGAGGGCGTTACAGAGCGCAACTGTATCATCACGAAAGGCTCGACGAGGCTGGGATGGCTCCAAGTCGACGTTTGAGTCCACTCAAAGCAGTGACAAAAACGATTACTCGTCGTCTTTGCTGTCTCGCAGTGCTGTAGGCACAGATTTTTCACGGATGCAGATACCCAGGAAGAAATGCGAAGAATGCCGTAAGAACTCAGCATCGCTGCTTGCTCTTCGATCCGAAGTGAAGCAGCTACGTGCGCACGCGGAAAGTGACGAAGAATCGCTGCTTCAAGCTGAAAAAGACCGGGGTCATCTACAGCGAGAGAACTCTGCACTCTCGTCTGCGTTACTATCAGCGAAGCAGAAGCAGGAAGAACTGCGTCAAATGATTCTAGATCTGACTCAGGAAAAGCACCGGCTCCAGAATTTAGGCGACTCAGAGCAACGCACTGCTGAACGCAGTATTCGCGTGTTGAAAGAACAACTTGGCGCTTTAGAAGAGCAGAAAGCTCATCTGAAACGAAAATTTGACGAGCTAGTCAGTAAGTATGACGCTGAAATGAACGAGAAACGAACGATCTCAAAGAAGCACACAGAGCTGGAGGGCAAACACGCTAAACTGTCCCAATCTAGCATTGAACTGGAAGAACAAGTGGCGAGTTTGCATGAGACTGCTAGAAGATGCGAGACAATGGTTGAAGATCGAGATGTAGCTCTAAAAGACTTACAAGCTCAACTGCATGTGATGGAGCAGGATGGAACTTCACTAATGACCGAGTTGCAGGAAAAGGATACTGTAATTGCTGATCTAAGAGTACAGTTATCTGAATTACAGCGCGGTTACGACGATCTTGAGGTGGAGAAGCGCAGATCAGCGGGTGAAATCGAGAGG